CTCGGTGTTCCCTTGGGAAGATTGAGAAGCGTCAGATAGCCCGTCGAATCAGCCTTTGCCACGAACAAAGTAGTCGACCGAGCAGTCGTATAGATAAAGACTTCGAGACCCAACACTAAAACCTGCTTGCCGTCTGCATCGATTGAAACGGCGAGGAAATGGTTTTCGCAGTACGTCCGCTCGGGCCGTTCGTTTGGTGGTGGAGAGTAGAGAGGGTCGGTCTTTGTAGGGGGTGTTGAAATGTGAAGGATCGTAAAGTCGTGGCCTTTTGGGAGGACAGAGGCCAGACGTGATTTCAGGCCGTTGTCTGTCATGATGGTTGCTGATGGAAGTTGAAGCTGGGATTGATTGTTTGGTATAAGTTGGGGTGGTCGCTAGGGCAGCGGTGGGGCGTTGATCTACAGGGGGTTGAACAGGGGTCCAGTGGAGTCTGTGATACCTGCCAGGTCCCGATTGTTATCCATGGATCTGGGATTATTCAGCCTAGGGACCTCCATCCTAAACGACAAGAGTTAGGATACCTTATATCAAGGTCTGATGCTCTCCTGTTCCCTGAGATCAGCTTAGACCTGTCTTGCAAGGACTTTAAAGTGATTGTCTTAACTACAGAAACTGTCATTATTCGTTCATCAACCGGCCTAAACGCTCGCACTCAAATCTTGCACCAACTCTGAAGGCTTCGGATGATCACTCCTCCAACTGCCAACAGCCATAGCAACATATAGAAGATTCCATCTCGGACCATCAGGAAAACAGACAAATTCAGCAATCATCATCTCAACCAAAGGCTTATACTTCGTCAGAACCTCCTCCGACCCTCTCCCCTCCACGAGAGCCTGCAACTCATCAATCTCAGCTGGTTCCAGATACTTGCGCAAATGGTTCTCAACTTCCCCTGGAGTCTTCCACCATTCGGGTCCCTGTCCTTTCTCGACTAGTTCCTGTTCCATTTTCCGTCGTAGATCGGGGAGCACTGACTTCCATACCATTTCGGTTCCTGCGCGTGGAAGATCGATGAAGCCTTTGTGCTTGTACTCTAGTCGAGCCAAAGCGAGTGAAAGCAGGAATCTTCGGTCGTTCAGGTGCTTTGAGTGGTTGAACAATCGATCCATGGGGTTTTGGGCTGGGGGTCCAGGTTTACCAATCATGTTGAGCTTGTATGTCTCCCATAGTGACACCGTATTTCTTGTGCAGGCCCAGTACAGCGTTCCTGCGAATGTGTAGAGCCCATCACCGAGATATTTGCCTGCATCTGATGGCGCTTCAAATATACGTGCCAATCTGTCCGTGTTAGTCCAGAGTTGCTGCTCCAGACTTAGACGAGGAGGCGCGGTGTTTTGTCCAAGTGACTGAGCATGAATCATGATATCCGACGACAACAGCCCTGAAAGATATGATAACCTCTCAGCTGAGATTGGATCTGTGTCTATTGAACCAGAAGTTGTCAAGGCTCGGCTTTCGCTCTCTTCTCCAAGAGTTTCTCTCGCTTCAGCCAACGCCGCCTCGAGTTCCTGGTCCTTTCCGCCACGCTTCAGCGCGACCTTCTCAACTCTTTTCAGAGCATTTCTCAACCTCTGGTTTTCATCTTTCAGAGTGTTGAACTTTGAGGCATGTCTTTTGCGATACTCGCGCTGTGCAACTCTGCTGCGCTCCCGCTTTGGCTGTCCATGCATGTTAGGTGGTGTTTTGTAACAAAAGTTTCTGCTTGGTAATTGTGAGATCCACATACATCAGAAGTATCTCCATTGCCCGGAGGCGACATTTCAATGGCATGGGGAGTGCGATGACGATGCTGGAGGAATAACGTTGCTGACTTACCAAGAGAGGATTGATAACGTTATGAGGCGTTATGGTGGCTGGTGGGGTAGTCATGTAGCAAGGGTGAGGCGTCAGCGCATGAATAATGTGTAACGCAACTCAACGTTGAACTCACGATGCTCAGCGAAGGATTCACGAGGATGAGAATAATTAAAATATGTATATAGAGTAGAATAAAGTAGGGTATGAGCAGTACAATCGCTCTCATTCAATCTCAATTCATTCCCTATTCATTCGCACATCTCATCCTCAATAAGCGTCACAAAATGGCATCTCCAGTCAAGACCCTCCACAAGACTTCATATCCGTCCATCTCTTCTCTTCGTCCCGAGCTCTCCACCAAAGGAAAGAATGCTGTAATCACAGGCGGTGGCTCTGGTATTGGGGCCAGCATTGCCAGGTCATTTGCCAAATCAGGCATCACCAACCTGGCTCTTCTTGGCCGAACAGAAAAGACACTCCTCGAAAACAAAGCCTACATCGAGGGAAAATACCCCGAAACTAGAGTCTGGACTTATACAGTCAACATTGTCGACGCTGACTCTACACGGTCTGTCCTCGAAGCTTACACCACTGCAATCAGTGGAAAGATCGACATTCTCATCGCAAACGCTGGATACATGCCCAAGACCGAGCATGTGACCGTGGCAGATCCTGTCGATTGGTGGCTCACCTTTGAGATCAACATCAAAGGAAACTTTAACCTCTTGCGTGCCTTCGACCCCCTCGCCACTCCCGGAGCCACAGTCATTCACGTATCCACCAGCGCAATGTACACAGAGTTCATGCCCGGGTTCTCAGCCTATCGCGGTTCAAAGCTTGGAGCTTACAAAGTGTTTGAATGGTACGCCAATGAGAACCGCGACAAGGTCGTTATACAGTTTCACCCCGGGCTCATCATGGACACGGCCATCACTCGACCTCTCGTGGATGTCGTCAAGGAATATGGACTTGTTCCGGAGGATGTGTCACTTCCGAGCGACTTTGCTGTTTGGGCTGCGAGCGATGAGGCCAAGTTTCTGAGTGGGAGGTTCGTGGAGTGTATGTGGGATGTCGAGGAGCTCAAGGCGGCGAAGGATAAGATTAAGGAGTCATGGGAAAAGTTTACTGTTGGGTTGGTGGACTAAAACCTGCGATATGTCAACCTGCGCTTCTTAGTTTCACGAGAGCGGGACGAGATATCTTAGATACAAGGTTTCTATTTTAAATTTAGCTCTGAAGAAAATAAGCTCAAGGCACCGGGTCGCCAGATGAGGTAGAGAAGTTCAGGTAGGGACGTATTTCTATCGCTGCTTTTCCGTCTTTTTCACTCATCAATTCAAACAATCTTCATCTACCAGTGACCAAGAGCTCTCAACATCAACAAAATAACGAAAAATAATATTTCCAATATATATTGTCTACTGTGTCAAAGAACCATGGCTCCTGTACAAGACGACGCCACAGGCCACTCAACGACCATGCAAACACACCCTCTATTGATCACCATGGACAAGAGTTCTTATGTCAGAAGGTCTCCGGAAGATGACCCCAGGGATCTATATGGATTGTTCCGCGAACTCTCATTGGAGAGAACCATTGATCCAGACAAGATGCAACGACACATCTTGGACAGCATCTATCGCCTTGTCCATGGCTCCAACAACATGGAAGACGTCAGTTTCAGCTTCAACACCACAGTCGAGCTTTGCCGCACCATTTTCGAAGGCCCCATCAGTGATCCATTAGACCTCCTAGTTCTCGACGTGGAAATCTATCGAGAGTTGGCACAGCATGTCAAGGCAGCTCAATATCTCATTTGGCAAACCACCAAGAGCGATCTGTCCGAGGATATCATCAAGGAAGCACATCGCATCTTGACAAATGAGTTCAATCAGACTGAAGGCACATATAATACCGAGTACAGCGGCAAATACCGCACATCTCCTCTGCAAGCAACATCCCGTCCCTACATGGACCCCAACAGTATTCCCGCTGCGATGGACAAGATGATGGCCAGCTACCGAGATGATATCCGGGCTGCTGGGATAAAAGGAGAAGTTGATCCTGTGGCGCTTGCAGCAAAGTATAGTCACATTTTCTTCAGTATTCACCCATTTCATACCGCCAACGGCCAAATGAGTCGCCTCATACTCAACGCCATACTCTTCAAGTGGGCAGGATGTCTCGCTCCTTTTGGTCAGGATGAGGAGGAGTGTGCAGAGTATCTTTCCATTGTTATTGAAGCGATGGATCTGGAAACCTGTGATTCTGAGAGTTGTCATGGAGTGGCCGATGGCTGTAGAACGAAGCTTTATAAAAAGCTGGCTTCCTATATTTTGAAGCATGCGGCGGCGGGTATGTTGCCGGTTTGCGAGCCTCTGCAATTGGATGGGTGATGCCATCTATTGTCAGTCCTTTTTGTGTATGGGATACCTTTTCTAAATTCGAGAAGATTTAGGACGATTTAGATTGAATGGTTTCCAGAAAAGGGGTCATGGATGTGACTTGGCATGAGTATCAACAAACACATCCCTCCAGTCTCAACCATCACCATTAACAGTTCCAGACCCCTTGAGTTCCAGACACTATCAGAGCTCGCAGACTCACATATCAGACGCCATCGCGCCTTACTTTCCAGCCAATCCACCACTCTGCCCGTGACACTGCCAACAACTGCCAACCACTACGCCAACACTCTAACCACCACGCTTCAACCACCCCCCGCCATAGCTTTATCTGTCAGAGACGCTGAACCCCTATCACCAGAAGTGGCGGCAGCTCGCTTTGGCCTAACGGTTTAACAAAGCGTGTACGACCGATCTCTCGCCGCTTTCCGGGACAGTTCGTGGGATCGAATCCGGTCTCCTTACTGCCTGGAACGCTTGAGTTGCAGGATGGGAACACCAGCAAGACAGAAAAAGGAAAAGACAAACAAAGATGGAGTGGGATAAGTGGTGACCGGGGCCTGTAACTCCGAGATTGATATTTTTTTTACACAGTTTGTAGATACTTTAGTTTTAATATAGAAACTAAATCTCTAAAGGCTCTTATAGCTTAGAGCATGTTTTCCTAGTGATTAATTGGAGAAGACCAGCTTGGTGATGTTTGATAATAAGAGTAATAGTAGTAATTGCTTCTATATGCTTATCGATAATAGCGCTTCCCTTTGTTCTTTTTCTTTTTCTTGCTTTTGGTTATATCTATTGTGTTTGTCTATCCTCCTGCTTTGTTAGATTGTCTTCTTCCACGCCTTTATCCTTAACCTCGTTGTCTGCCCTCTCCTTATTCTTGTTATTCTTCTTCCCCTCCTTCATTACCCCTTTATCTTCTTCATACTTATCATCCTCCTCCTTGTCTACTTCCTCCCTGCTCTCCTTACCCTCCTGTATCAGCCCCTCTACTTCTTTGCCTCCCTCATCCTCAGAATCATCGTCGCCATGTTCCTCGCTCTTCTCCTCTGCAGTCGCATCATCTGTTTCTCCCCCATGTTCTTCCTCTCCGTCTACCTCTGGCGAGTCTGGCTGGTTGCGGTGGGCCTCGAGCCAAGCCACGCAAACTTTCATGGGATGTACAGCCGTTTTAACATTGTAATCGAACCCCAAGGGATCCCCACGTCGCTGCAGCATAGGCTCGACTACAAGATCGACAGTTCGTCCGGTGGCTGCGTCACTTCCGCCAATTGCCTTCATGAACATGCCCTTCACTCCTTCAAGCTTAGGCGAGTAGGGAAACCCGCAGGTTTGTTGAGTCGTGGGGTGGTGAAAGACATGGGAGAAGACGGTCAGATTGGCGCTGAAGAAAAAGTCCATCTTGGCTACTGCATCGCTAAGGTTTTGGAGGGTTGTTTAATAATCGTTTTTCATGGATTCCTCTTCGGGCTCCTGTGGGAAGTACTGACCAATTGCTCTGGCAGTGATCGGGACCACACGGGCTGGATCAATCCTTTGACTTTTCCGTGGCGAGTCTTTGAGTGACATGTAGAACTGCATCGTGGTGTATCTCCAGTGTGGGAACATGTGAGACGCAATTACATCATCGTAGGAGAAGTCGTGTTCTGTTACTCGGGCCAGTGCTGTGTCGATAATCATAGCCATAGATCTCGCCCCTCCATACCTTGCAAGTAGCGCTCCAAGGTTCCTTGAGCCTCCCAGTAAGGTGAAGCCCAAACTATATCCTTACTCTTCTTTGAGAAGAAGTTCTCATCGATAACCTCCCAGAGCCATCGTTGGAATACAAGGGGAGCCATGTCGGGCACATCAAAAAGTTCTTCTATGTTAGGGGCATATCCAAGGAACTTCTGTTGGAGGTCCTCTCCGAGGCTGTCCCAGGGCTTGCCCCAAAAGCGAGATTCGTCTGCGAGGCACTTGATGCTACTTGCAAGGTCACCCCAGAATTGTTGTGCGTAGCCGTCTTTGCGGTCGAGAGCCAACACCTCATGAAGATATATTCTGCTCTGTTCAATTTTTCGACGGTTTTCCTTGTGTTGTTCTTTTGCTTTGTCGGCTTGCTTCTTTTCCAGCTCAGCCTTGATATACGTTAGTCTTGAGACAAATTGCTTATGTCTATGCGGGTGGTACCATACCCAACGAGCGGCCGGATCGACCACTGGAGCCTCTTTTGTGGCCTGTTCTTTAGGAGCCCCCTCTTTGGAATGTCCTTTGGAGTTCTGTCCCTCTAACTTTTCGCGCTGGCTCCCAGTAGTCCTTCTTCTCTTCTGGGGATGATGTTTCCTTGGGGCTTCGAGGGCTTCGAGGGCTTCGAGGGTTTCAAGGGTTCCGGTAGCTCGCTGAGAGCCTGAATCCGCTTAGATCTCTGCGGGGCAGTCATGTTGAGAGAGAGAAGCCCGCCGCGCTATGGTGAAACAAACATTCAGCAGCAACGCAATTGCGTAAAATCAGGCTGTCTCTGAAATTATGTATGTACTCTTCCTTGTCACGATTCTGTGCGCAGCCGAGCCCCCTATAGTGGGCAGCAAGTCAAAGAAATAAGCCAAAGGCCGAGGAACAAGGAAGCAATTATCCGTGTGTTACATACGGCTGGGTGAATATTTTCGTGGGTGGCTGAACAAACAATGCATCCTATTGACCGTATTGGTTGGGTCGCATTGTGAGGCGGGAGGGACAACAGAAGCCTTATGATCAACCACTGAAGCTGGTCTTGCAATTGCTTTTTTCTCTTTAAGATTGTTGAGACAAACGGAAGGTAACATCATCGGCTTCGGAATGAATCGTGTCAGGAGGATGTATGTCGATCAATGTTTAATTGATCGGTCTACTCAATAGTCCAAGGACGTGTTGGTGCTAGTCATCATGTCGGGCCACCTCTTGAACAAAGAAACAGTTTTCCCTCCTATTCTTTTCGTCCTCGTGACATCCACAGTTCGAGTACTCTGCCCCCCTTGGACGAGCTTTATCGAGAATCCATACCCGAGGAGGGAAGCCACTGCAGCCTTTGGCATGTGCCGTATGCCACTGAACTAACGTATCCTGCTGTTGGGCATAGGCCCCAAACCAGACGCCGGTTCCCGAAGGACGCCATAGAGTTGGAGGAGATGCCCGTTTCAGACCAGGCCAAGGATACTCACAGACTCTGTTTTCTGCCTTGTGCCACACCACAGGGGAGGGCAGCTTCACTGGCCGATATTGCGCTTCCTTGACTGTGTGAGCAATCATATTCATCCTTACCGGTCTCACAGCTTATGGTAGTTGGCCGGTCCAGAATCTGATATATCGGATAGTGGCAGACACGAAGCATGTTGTCCATAAATCCCAAAAATCTCAGATCGTTTGGATGCCTTGCTTGTGGTATTACCCAAGCTGCCCCGTTTCTTCTCAGATCAAAAGCAACCCCTCACCGTCTCGCACCTCTGCAGAAATTGCACTTTCAATCTCTTGAGATCCATCAGTCAATATTCTAACGACATGGCATCTTCCGTTCCCCAAGGACAGGCCATTCGCCGCCGAATCATACACGCGGGCACGGACTTCGGGACTGCGTGGGTTCAACGAGCACTATAATCTAGCGACGACACCAATTCGGTGTTTGATCCAGTTGTCGGCAAGATTCTGAACTTGCTAGAATCAGAAATAGCCAACGTCGGGAGAGCGATAGGTAATGGCCCAAAAGTAAGTAACGTCTAAGGCGGATGGAAGTTGAACTTGCTGACGTTGGGTCTCCAGCATGTCGTCGTGGCTGGCGGGTTTGGTCGCAGCCGCTATCTTCAACTGAAGATAGCACAAAAGGTTGAGAGCCTGTCTCCATCTACCCTTACCAATTGGTATACAGACCAGGACGGGTGGGCTCTTTCATTCGTAGCCCATGCTCTCAAGACTGACCAATTTCTACAGATGGGCCTCGGTGTGTCGAGGCGCAGTACTGCATGCTATTCAGGCACATGCGCTGTCAATGGAGCCGGGTGCAAGAGTTGAGCTTTTTGACTGTATAGGCTTGACCGCCGTTGGTGAGCCACCGAGCATGGCGTTCGATTTTCGCTGGGTTGGCGGTGAGATGAGTTTCGTGCTGGTGTATGGAGAAAACAGTCAAGTCCCATTCATCCGTCAAAACTGTTACGATTTTTGATGGGAATCTTGCTTTGCGTGGAGGAATGCATTAAGCATGGCGGCTTCGTTCTACCAGAATTGCGCTTTCTTAGTCCACTAGCAGGATAGATTGAGACCAGGAAAGACCATCAAGTGGGAAGTTCTTCACTGACATTATGAGTTCTGCAAAAGACGTATCAGTTCATCCCTGGTCGTCGCAAAAAAACGTATCCAAAGGTGCTCTAGCTCTACAATGGCTCTCTTCCGACGTCAAATGAAGTGCCAAACACACCTATGTAGTCTATAGGTAGTCTGCTCCATCCACACTAGGTACGGCATCTCCAGTGTGGCGCTAACCTATCAAGCCACACTATCAAATGCGCAGCTCCATCTCAGCCTCATCGAACTTCACATTCACGCAACTCCGTAAGTATACCTTACTCCTTCTCCGACACAATCCCAACTCACTTCGCTGCACTCTGAATCGCCTCACCTAACTCAGCGCCTACTTGCGCATCTCGCTGCGCCATGGCTACCGATACTCCAAAACTGCTCTGGAATCCTGATAACGTCAAGGATGTTGCAGAGTCGGTCGGCATCAGCTCTCTCAACGAAGAAGCGCTCAAGTGCTTGGCACAGGACGTAGAATACCGAATCGGCCAGGTCATCGTGGAGTCTCTGCGCTTCATGCGCGCCGCCCGCAGAACAACCCTCACCGTCAACGACATCTCCCTCGCGCTCAGGGCGCTCGACGTAGAGCCCCTCTACGGCTACGATTCTACGCGTCCGCTACGATACGGCGAGGCCAGTCTCGGACCTGGCCAGCCGCTGTTCTACATTGAGGATGAGGAGGTCGATTTTGAAAAGCTCATCAATGCGCCTCTGCCTAAGGTGCCGCGCGACATGGGCTTTACAGGTGCGTTTTCTGGTCGAAGCACGATTCCACCCTAACGTCTTCAGCGCACTGGCTCGCCATCGAAGGTGTCCAGCCTTCCATCCCTCAGAACCCCACGACTTCCGAATCTCGATCGCAGGAACTGCTCCCCAAGGGACCTGGTGCGAACCCTGCCTTGTCCGCCTTGGCAGGCAATGACAATGTCTCCATGAAACCATCTGTTAAGCACATTGTGAGCAAGGAGCTCATACTCTACTTTGACAAAATCCAGGCTGCTGTTCTCGACGACAATCCTGACGAAGAAGTGGTACGCCTACGGCAAGCCGCTCTCGGTTCCGTGAGAGACGACCCTGGTCTGCACCAGCTCATCCCATACTTCATCACCTTCATCATGGACCGAGTAACACACCACCTCGATGACACCTTCACTCTCAAGCAGATGATGGAGTTGACGAATGCTCTCATCGAGAACAAGAGCCTTTTCCTGGATCCCTACGCCAGTCCCCTGTCGGCGCCCGCTCTCACTTGTCTGATGGCGAGAAAATTGGGCACTGACGAAGGAACGGATGCTCTCAAAGAGCAGTATGATCTCCGACAGTTGGCTGCATCTCTGGTTGGACGAATTGCGCGCAAATACTCTGCTTCCAACACACTCCTACGACCCAAGTTGACGAGGACATGCCTCAAATACTTTCTCGACCCTACCAAACCCCCTGCGGTTCTCTACGGGGCCATCCACGGCCTGTTGGAGGCAGGAGGTCCAGAGGCAATCCGCGTGCTGGTGCTACGTAACTTGCAGACTTTTGACTCGGGGATCCTACAGCCTCTGAAGGAAAAGGCAGAGGGTACAATGGACTACGAGATGCTGGTTCAGGGCATAGTACAAGCTGTGGCTTCGCTGGCAGATCATGTCGAATCAGACACCAACGGAGTCAATGGTGCAGCAAACGTCGAGACAGAGATATCCGAACTCAAGGACTTTATCGGACCCATCATTGGGGAAAAGATTGCCTCTGCGGGTAATCGGAGACTGATCAGGACAATACTGGATGCTCGATTCTTGGATTAGAGATTTGGCACGTAATATTCACGACAGGCGAATGGCGTTTGGTTGCGAATACCTCACGAGGTGTTGGTTAGAACAGGCTCAAGCATTTCAAGGCGCTTGTGTACAGATAATAAAATTGTTTGCTCAAAGTCAGGAATGCCCTCAGGCTAATACTCGTACACGAGTTTCTCATCCTTGCCGTACTCCTTCCCTTATCCATTGTATCCTCCACTGCGAACCATGCCATCTAGACCCTTCCGTCTTCTTCAATTTTGGTGTTTTACAGGAAAGCAACCAGGCCAATAGCTCCGAGGAAACTGGCAGCCCAGATGTACTTGTCGGCCTGGATAATAGTCGTCTTGGCGAAACCCTTGCCAGCGTCGTACAGGAGGTGCTTGAAGCCGCTGATGGCGTGGTAGACGAAGGGGAAGCCCAGCGTGAACTTGATGCCGCCCTTGACAGCGAGGGGCAGACCAGCAGCGAAGCTGGCGATGCTTGCGCTCTCGAGGTGAAGTCCGACAAGAGGGGCGGCGAGGTAGGCGAGGGAGAAACCGTACATGGTCGCGGAGAGGGTGCAGCCGGTGATTCGGTTCCAGGCGGAGCTACCGAACCATGTCTGCTCGATCTTGTAGATGGCCAGATGGGGAGAGACGGGACGGTTGAGGCGCTGGTTGACGAGGATCTGGTGGCCGTCTTGCTGCGAAACCTTGGTAGAACCGACGGCGCTGCGAATGTCAGATGTGTGAGGCTCAATTGATGCTGGGGACGTACCGTAGGGGGGAAGAGGTAGAGATTCCAGCAGCGAGAGCAGCCTTGGGAATGTTCTGGGCGAAGAAGGGCTTGGTCGCGCCTATAGAGCTGTTAGATTCGGAATGTCGAGGCTCAGGTTGCGAAAGTACCTTGACGAAGAGCGGCGACGCCAACACGTTGAGCGAGCATGGTGGCGGATTATGAGTATCTATCGATTCCGAAGAGAAAGGGTTCAGCCAAGGTCCGGTCAACGAGATCGTCAGCGTCGATGCTTCAAGGGCGAGATCCGTACAGTATCTGGGTATCAATGATGATGGCTTCCTATTCTCGAGATATCGGAACGGGCCTCCTCGGCTTCTCGGTCCAATCAGCCAATGGGATGATGTCAATTCCTCATCTCGGAACGCACGTGACATGTTCTCACGTGCATAGTGTGACTGACTAAGCAGGATCGTGAGTTTTGTTGACGCGATTTTTTTTGTCGTGGTTGGATTTTCCTTTCTTCTTCAGATAGACAAGAACGTTCGCCGCACGCTGTCTAGTGTAGAGAGTGGACAGCATTGTAGGCAGGGTCTTTGGACTCGAGAACAGTTCTTAGAAGAATATTGGGAAATTGGATCCGTCGTTAATCTCGACACCTAGTTTTCCCGTCTAGGTGTCGTTTCATTTTTGAGATCTACATTCTGATGCATATGTGCTTGTGATATTGACGCTCGAAGGTGTGTTAATAGTGTGCCCGTGATTATACTGCTTGTTTAGTGGCTGCGGTTGACGACTTGAGGTGCTCAACGTGAATGCCAATTGATTATGACTGTAGCGTACTACTGAACACTGGACAACGATGGCATCACGGCTTGGATGCCGTCTTCAAGG